ATTCAAACAGGGCTCTACATACCTTTAAAATCTGCTAGAACTTTAGTAACGTGCACACTTTTAGAAATTATTGAAATAGGTATATTTTATCAGAAATATGCTTAAGCTAAAGCATATTTTTGAGCCTCTTTTTACTATTTGCTTAAGCATATTCGAACCTGTTTCAAAAATTTTATATGCTTTAAAAAAAAAAAACATGTATATTCCTACCCATCATTCTTATTTTTAATATACGTAATGAGTTCAAAAAATATCGTTATATAGATTTATTATGGCACGTTTCGTAAGTTTATTTCCGTTAAGAATTCTTTCGTATGTTGTGATCCGAAATACTTTCGTTTCGAAAGAAATTTTATTTTTTATCAATATTTCTAAAAATAAAACCATAAAAATTTAATATGTTATTATACTGAAAATAAAAATTCATTATAAACATTTTGGGATTTAAAGATGTTAATTTTTACAATTAAAATCAGTCTGACAAACAAATTTTCTTTATAGACTTAAAAACGTCGTTTGGCGAAAATGTTTGTTTCGCAAGTGCGACTTCCGAAACCGCTACTTTCGTATGTTGCAAAATAGTTTTGCTTCGTATGTCAACTTGCGAAATGCTAAATTTCGAAAGTGGCTTTTGCAAAATGAACATCGGCGATTTTAAATGTTTTGTAACATTCGGTACGAAAAAATGTAATTCCTCGTTCTCAATCTCCTTACGAAAGAATGTTGTTTTTCCGGAATTGCACGAAATCCTCCGGTTAACAACCCTAGTATAAATATAATATAAAGTTAGTAATTCAGATTTAAATTAAAAACAATTAGCCGATTTAACGAAAACCATTTAAAAAAACCAAAACTTTGTGACGTTTTCATAATCATTTCACGTTTTCAACTTAACGCTAAAACTTAAATTTTCAGAACTTTAAAACGCAAATAGGGCTTTACCCTGAGTTTACGCATGCGCATTATCAACATTTTGTCTTCAGAGGTTGCGGTTTTAGTTGGCGTTTTGATTTCGGTCGCTAATTTCATGCGCGCGCATATTTAATATTACGTCATGGTACTTTATGCGCAGAATTGCATGAAAACAAGTAATTACTCATATAAATTAAGATAGTAACCTTGAAAGAAACAGTTGTTTACATGAGAGTTTTTTTATTTTTTTTAAAAAAAGACATTGATTTAGTTTAATATAAGTTTATTTTACCCGTTTTAAGTTTAAAATCTATACTGTTTATATGTTTTTGTTATACAATATTTCAACGAAAAAACAAATTTGTACGTTGAGTGTAAAAGTATCTAATATTGATTAATAAAAAAGAGCTTTCGGGAAAGAAAATTGTTAAATAGTAATTTATATTTATATATATATATATATATATATATATATATATATATATATATATATATATATATATATATATATATATATATATATATATATATATATATATATGTATATATATATATATATATATATATTTATATATATATATATATATATATATATATATATATATTTATATACACTCACACACACATATATATATGTATATACACACATATATATGTATATATATATATATATATACATATATACATATATAAATATATATATATATATATATATATATATATATATATATATATATATATATATATATATATATATATATATATATATATATATATATATATATATATATATATATATATATATATATATAAGGGTCCCCATTGCTCTTGTATTTCATGCCATGAAATACAAGAGCAATGGGGACCCTTTTTTTTATCGAACCACCAATGATGAACATCATCTCACTTTTACTTGTGAAAATTATCCATTCTCTGGAAATTATCTCACACATGTGATAATAGAAAATGGTAAAGGTGGTACTATGGCTCTAGCAACATTAAATGTGCTTTCTGAATACAACAGTGTTAAAAGTTTAGAAGCGATTGTTCTTGACAATACAAGCTCTAACACTGGCGTAAATAATGGTTTAGTTGTAAAATTAGAAAAGTTTTTGAATCGTAGCATTCATTTCGTTGGATGTTTGCTTCACCAGGGTGAGTTACCTCTTCGTCATGTTATATCTGAAATAGATGGACAAACTAATGATCCAAAAAAATACAAAGGTCCTATTGGTATACAAGCGTCTAATATATTCATGCATGAACAACCTTTGGTTCAGTTTATTCCTATAGATTCCAAGTTTTATGTAAATCCCGCCATTGTTTGCGATCTGAGTACAGACCAACGTAAACTTTATGAGTATTGCATTGGAATAGCTAAAAGTTCAATTTCTGTGAAGCATGCTAATAAGAAACCTGGTCCTGTCTGTCATGCACGCTGGCTAACCCTTGCTTTAAGAATTATGATGGTTTATGCAAGAACTGAAATACCTACACATGATCTAAACTGCATCACAAAGTACATAGTCCAAGTCTACTGTCCAATGTGGTTTGCTGTAAAAAGTTCAGCGCATTACAAAGATGCACCAAGGCTTCTCCATAAAACAATACAGTTAGTCAAAAAACAGGATGACAGAATTAAAAAGATTTTATTGAAAAATCTTCAGGGTAACTCCTATTGCTGCTGTCAAGAAAACTTTCTTTACGCTATGCTATTAGACGATGAAAAAGTTGTACGAGATCGTGCTCTCAATAAAATCTTGGAGATTAGGTTATCTAGGGAAACTAATCCAGACTTAAAGCCTAAAATCCAAGCTAAGACAATTATGACCTTGAACTTCAATGTTGATGTTTGGACCGACTTAATTGAAGTTTCTTCAATACAAATTGAACCTCCCACTACAATTTTCGTTTCTTCAAATGAATTAAAACAAGCTATTCAAACCGGAAATAAACTTTCTATAACTGACTTGCCAAACAAATCTCAGTCGGTGGAAAGAGCTGTAAAACTTACATCTGAAGCTTCTAAAATGGTTTATGGACGGGTGAAGAGACATAACTTCATTTTGGCTAAAAACCAAAGTAGAGCCGAAAACAAGCGAAATGTGAAAAAGTCTGAATATTGTATACTTTTGTCAGAGTAATTTAACAATCTTGTATAATGCAAATATAATATATATATTGAATACAATAAATAAATATAATATATGAATTTTTCTATGACTCTCGATGATTAGCACACATAAATTTGAGTTCAATATACCATTTTATGAAAAGACATTCAAAAACGTTATTCCAGCATCAAACTTGGTTTAACTTTCAGTGTAAAGTCTATAAAAGCGTTCAAGTTCCTGTATAAGCTAAAAAGACCTTGCGAAATATTTAATTAATTTAAATGCTTGAAAAAAATATACAAATAATAGAAAACTTTAAAATGATTTCCCAAAATGATTATAGCTCCAAATTGTATAATTTTTTCGCAATTATGTTTATACTTATGATTTACATAAATCCCAAAGTGAGCCAACATGCTTTAGAAAAAAAAGTTTATTGTGTATTTACTTTCTTTCATGCGATTCTGCGCACAAGGAACAATGACGTATTGTTAAATGTTCGCGCGCACTAAATTATCGGAATTGCGAAGAGGTCTATTATTGCATGATATGTTGAATGACTCTTGCGAAAACCGAATTGTTTGTTATACAGAATATTATTTGTTTCAAGATAGTTGTATAATCTATTGTACATAACACGTTCGAGAAGCTTTGAAAAGCAAGAAAGTATTGATATAGGCCTATATTTGGATGCTAAAGAGTCGTCACCATTTTTATAAATAGGGACTACTCTTGCTATTCTTAATTTATTAGGAAAAACACCAGTTATTAAAAATAAGTTGATTATTGTTAAAAGAGGCGATTCAATAATATCAAATACTGTCAAAGCAATTGCATTAATTTCGTCGATTCCTATAATTCTTGCTGGTTTTTAATAAATTTAAGGCTGTTCGAAGTTCATCCGAGGATATTTCAAACTCTTACATAACTGATTATGTTTTTTTTTTAAAAAAGACTTAAACGGTTTGTTTCCCGGAAATATTTCTTTGGCTAAATTTTTAGCAACGTTTGTAAAGAATTCATTAAACATATCAGCAATTTTGTCTCTGTCAAAAACATCTGTGTTCATTTTCGTTTGTAAACGCTTTAGAAAAACAGTGTTTATGTTTAATTTCTTTTTTCCAGTTACTTCTTTTATTATATCCCATTTTTTTCTAGCATTGTTTATTAATTTTCGAGCAGATTGGAGTAATATATATATATATATATATATATATATATATATATATATATATATATATATATATATATATATATATATATATATATATATATATATATATATATATATATATATATATATATATATATATATATATATATATATATATATATATATATATATATATATATATATATATATATATATATATTTTAATAATTTTTTAAAAGAGTTTTTGTATTTTTTTATATTTATTTTAATTAGTTTAAGTTTTTTTTTTTTTTGTTATTATCGTAGAGCTTTTGCTTCTTTTTTCAAGCCCTTTTGTCATCCAATGGTTACGTAGCTTTTTAGAATGAATTGTTTTTTTGGTCTTTGACAAAGCTTTTTCGTCTTGTTTAAAAAATAAGCGTATAAAAAGATCATAAGCATTCTTCGCATCGTTGCACTCAGCTGTCGGTTCCCAATTGGTTTCATGTATCAAATCGCGTAATTTTTTTATAGAATTGTTGTTTATTTGTCTGACGTAGGTGATAAAAGAATTATTATCTTTAATGGTTAAGCAATTGGTTAGCAGAAAATTTGGAAAATGGTCACTTATATAATATGGCCCGGTTTTAACAGTTTTCTATGTGTAGGCGAGATGCAAATTTGCCGCCGCAAAAATTAAAAATGCAATAATTTCCAATTTGAAGGAAAATAGAAAAACACTGAAAATCAAACTTTAATATAGAAAATAAAAAAACTCAATTTATACAAAAATAAAAAACAAAACAAATTCCATTCATAAAAAAATAAAAAACAAATCGTAATTAAAAGTGAATTTTCCTAGCTTTTAATTCTGCGAAATCTTTAACCAAATCTTCTATGTCCAAATGATCAGCAATTTCTTTCTCGATGGAAATCGTAGCTAGACCAACTAAACGATCTTGACACATTTGTGATCTCAAATAGGATTTTATTATTTTCAGCTTTGAAAAGCTTCTTTCAGCACTAGCAACTGTGACTGGTAACGTTAGTAGTATGCGAAGAGCTATCGAAAGGTTTGGGAATACTTCGACAACATTAGATGTGTAAATACATTTTAATACACTTTTTGGATCGCTATTGGAAGTATCAAGTCGTCTTCCAATAGCTTTAATTTCATACCAAAGTTTGACCCCGTTGATATCAGATTGGCCATCAGACATAAGCGCTAAATGCAAGTCCTTACAGTGTTTCAATAACTCATCATCCGTTAAGGGTTTGCTGCCGATATTGTAAAGAAACCCAAATAACTCGTTATATTCCGATAATTGCGTAAATCTTTCATTTATTGCTTGAATTGCGATGTCCAATATTCGATTGAAAAAAGATACTCTGAAGTTTTGTTCTGGTGATACTATCGGTTCATCACGACCTTCGTATAGGAATTGTCTACTCTTTCTGCGTACGCGTACGGGATCATCCACATCAAATCCTTCAAAAATTTCTAGTTCAACTGCCAATTTTTTTGCATTTTCAACCATTGCGGCAAATTCTTCATCACAGCGATAATCGCATAGGAAAGATTTGGTAGCGTTTAAATGCTCTAGAGCAAGCGACAAGTCTAAAGCCTGTGATTGGAGCATTTTGCTGACAATATTAATTTGGAATAAAATGTCATACCACAATACCAAGGAGCAAACAAATTTGAAATTTGAAATATTTCTGGCTATTCCCTTAGCCTCTGCGCGACTCTTGACTTGTGGTGCAGTAGTTAATGTATTGTCTTCTGCGATTTCAATTAGTGCATCGTAAACTCCACTAGTCTGAAATCGAAGTGCCCGTACGGCACCGACCCTGCTTTCCCAACGAGTGGCACTTAACGGTTTTATAGTCAGATCACTTAGGTGGTTTAATAATATACTCCAACGGTAAGTTGATGCTGAGAAAAAGTTATAAATGCCTTGAATTAAATCAAAAAATGCGACAGCCTCCATACAACAATTAGCTGCATCGTTCAATACCAAGTTGAGCGAGTGGGCACTACAAGGAACGAAAAAAGCTCGAGGATTTAGTTGACGAATTCTGGCTTGCACACCATTATATTTTCCGCGCATGTTGGCTCCATTATCGTACCCTTGTTTCTTCTTCGCCAAATCCCAAATGTAAAACATGTATACAAACAAACACTTTTATTACTATATTATTTATTTGAAAAAATTAGTATGTATTAAAGTTCCCGTAAAAAAAATAAAATAATTTCTTGTTACAAAAAAAAAATTTAATTTTTTTTTTTTTTTTTTGGGAAAACACAAAATAAATTAAGAAAAGTGCCGCTCTAGAAAAGTGCCGCCGTCGGCTGTCGCCGACGTCGCCTACGCTTAAAACCGGGCCTGCTTATATCGGATTTTATGATACCACTTTTGATTTTATAAATCATGTAGTTATTAATTCAACGATTGAAGTTACACGCATCGGTTTGTTTATTAGTGGTATAACACTGCTGAAGAAGTGTATTTACAAAGCGCCTGACGTTGAATCGCAATTTGTATTTAAAACAAAAATACACACTCCTCCATCGATGCCGTTTTTCCTTGCTTGATGAATTGATTTATAACCCGATAAAATAAAAATATGAGTTTGAATCATTTCCATTTTGAAACCAGGTTTCTGTTAGACATATTACACTAAATTTGTAGTTTAAATTTTCTGACATTATTTTAAGTTTTCAAGCCACTGACATTAAAATAATTAGTTTCGATTGAAAGTTTGTCAAAAATATTTAGGGGAAGATGGGTAGTGAGCCACTTTTTTTAAAATCGATTATATCAAGGAAACCAAAAGTGGAAAAAGTATAGGATAAGGAGCCTAAGGTAGCCTAAAGTATTAGGTTTCTAATAGTAATACAAGAAATATCAAAATATCTTTAGATTTTTAATAACTTGAACAATAACGCAGGTGTTGCTATTGGTTAACTTCTACCCATGCATGGGTAGGAGTGAACCAAGCAAATGGTAGGAGTGAACCATTATCTTTGATTATCAGAAAACTAAAACGAGATAATTTCTTTAACAAATTTATTGAAAACTAAGTAAGTAACTAATACTTTATAATTAAGCATAACATAATTATGTAATAATATAACTTATATTACAATAAATTTAACACAATTTTAAACTCATTTAATAAATTAAGAAAATTTATTAACTACCAGAAAAATAACTTGTTTTTATTCAGTAACAACTGATTTTGACAACAAAACAAAAAACTGCCATGACAAATGATAATTTCTAAATATTAAGATATAATAAAAGTATATACATATATATATATATATATATATATATATATATATATATATATATATATATATATATATATACATATATATATATATATATATATATATATATATATATATATATATATATATATATATATATATATATATATATATATATATATATATACATATATATATATATATATATATATATATATATATATATATATATATATATATATATATATATATATATATATATATATATATATATATATATATATATATATATATACTTTCATTACATATATGTAATGATATTAAAAGTATATATATATATTATATATATATATATATATATATATATATATATATATATATATATATATATATATATATACTTTTAATATCATTACATATATGTAATGAAAGTAGTATATTAGTATATAGTATATTGGCAATAAAAATAATATTTAGCAAATACTGATATAATCAAACACAACCTCAAATTTGTAATGGCAATGCTGCCTTTTATTTGTTCCAGAAAAAGTTGGCCGAGTTAGCAACAATTGAACATCCATTCTAGGGATAGTCATAATATCTGGTGAATTAGGCATCTTAAAAATATTACCTTTTTTCCGAAGAAAACTGATTGTAACTTCTTCTTTTATAGAGTTTATACATAATACCTTTCCAACATAAAACAATTTTTTTTTGTTGTTTCAACTTTACCCAATACAAAGTCACCTTCTTTAGGATATATATCACAAGCACACAAATCATCTTGTTGGATTATTTCATTTTATGAAATAATCCTACAAGATGATTTGTGTAACCTTTTTCAGTTGTGGTTGTCAAATGTTCCAATACAGAATTGTCTTTTTTAAGTAATTTTTTGTTAATCTTCTGTAAATTTGCTTTTAATTCTTTTGTAAGTTTGACTAACTTTTTATTGCAGAGCCTTTTCTTAATCCGATCTCTCTCAGGAGTGTCTGTGGCAATGATAGAGCAACCCTTCTTTCTTTCCCTTCTTTTACAGTTTTTTTTTCCAGATTTCGGAAAACCTCTGAATTGTTTAGGGCTGATAAAGAAATCTGATGATGTAGACAGATCAACCATGGTATCATTGGTAACTAGTTTGTTTGTATCTACAGTAGTAGAGGTAGTGGGGTCTGCGTTTGGTGAAACATGTGGGTGAAAAAAATTATCAGAAGTAATGCTTACGTGATTTTTCATGCAAGTATTGTTAACATCAAAAGTTCTATCTGTCACAGAACTGCACATGAAATCAATATCTGTAAACACGTTCCTGTCATAAGGAAATATACCTGTCTTTTTAAAAGCAGCTACAATGTTAGATGGTGTAATGGCTTTCAGAAAAGCAGGCCCTACAGATGCAGCCACTTGGTAAATTGTAATTCTCACCGTTTTGACGTCATTTTTTAACTTCAGTAAGCAATCTCTTTCTAATTATTTCGATATCGAGGGAAGAATCTTCGTTAATATACATGTTCGCTCCTTTTAATTTAAGCAATTTTTGAAGGATTTTGGCTTTGCCTTTGTGTCTAAGTAAGTTAATTAAAACTGTTCTTGGATGTCCGTCTTTTCTCAATCCGGTCCGATGAGCTTGCTTGATTTCAACTCCATTCAGTCCTAATTTATTTGATAAGAACGATTGAACTTTCTCTTTGATTTCAATCCAAGTTTCTTTTCCCCTTTTGGTATTCCATCAACTCGCTAATTTTTATTTCGAGATCTATCTTTGATTTTTCTATATTTTTCGTTTCAACGATTTATCGTTTTCTTTTCAAAGCGTTCGTTGTTTTGTTCGTAGAATTTTTTTTATCGAAGAGTTCTTCTTGAAAATTAAAAGATAATTTAATGTCTTCAATATCTTTTACCAAAATTTTGATTTGGTTAGCATTTTCTTTAAAATGTTGTTCAACATTGTCGAGCCACTCATTAATGATTTTCGTATTAGTGCTAAAAATTTCAACAAATATTTTTTCTTGTTGTTTCAGCATCGCCTGTTTCTTTTCTATATTCCATTAGCATTTCCTGTAGCATTTTTTTAATTTCAACAAGTGTAACTGCCATTTTTTAATTTTTGTTACGAACATTTTTTTTTATATATATATATAAAAATAAATGTACAAGCCTCAAAAAAAAATGCAATTTTCGGTTTTACATAGCAGTTATTTTAGAAAGCAACACAATATTACATATTTACGTAAATTTCTAAAATATAATATATTTTAGAAATTTACGTAAATATGTAATATTGTGTTTCTTTCTAAAATAACTGCTATGTAAAATATTATATATTATATAATATTTTGTTTTAACAATACTCTTAATAATCTACTCAAACAATAAGTTTGTGTAATACCTTTTTTTTTTTTTTTTTGTAAATTTTATTAAATAAGATCAAATTTTTTAGTTAAATTAATTAAAAATTATTTTGTTTAACATTAATAAAGAATTATACCTGTAACCTAGTAGTTAACTACTAGGTTCCACTAATATTTCATACCTAGTTAAAACCTATCAGTAGAAATAAAAAACAAATATGAACCTAGTAGTTATCCAATTTAACAATTTCCAAACAATTTTCTAATAATTATTTTAAATGTGAAAAACTAAAATAATTTTAATCATTTTTTATTTATATTTCATTTATTTACTTTCTTTTAATTTTACAATCCTTGAGGTCGCGATCACGTCATAAAACGAGTTTTGTAGAGATAAAACATGGAACAAAACGCGTTATTAGCGCGTTTTGTTTAATGCCTTAACCCGGCTTTAAAACTAAAACAATGAACAAAACGCGTTTTTTTCAATGTTTTTCCCCTACAAAGATGGTAAGTCGTTTTGTGACGCGATCGCGACCTGAAGGATAAATTGTTGTTGTTTTTTATACAAATTTATGTACCTTTTAGTTCTTAACTACCCAATGCTGTGTGAATTATAACTATTATAAATTAGTTTTTCAAATAGATATCAAATTTATTAATGCTGCATGAACTACTAACTGATTTCTGTGAGTACGCACAACTGGTTCCTTCTAGAATTTTTTTTAGATACAATTATATGTACTTTATTTTCTATTTGGTTGTACTTTACTAAAATCTATCTATCTATATATATATATATATATATATATATATATATATATATATATATATATATATATATATATATATATATATATATATATATATATATATATATATATATATATATATATATATATATATATATATATATATATATATATATATATATATATATATATATATATATATATATATATATGTATATATATATATATATATATATATATATATATATATATATATATATATATATATATATGTATGTATATATATATATATATATATATATATATACTGAAAAAATGGCTGCGCAGAATGTTATATTTTTTAAAACCAAATCTATTCTTAATTTTTAAGATGAAGTTCTTCAATGTAAAAGTGGTAGTTGTTTTTAATATATATACTCTTAAAGATAAAATAGATATCAAAGATTTAAAGACATTTGTGTAATATTTGTTGGAGAAGTGTCACAGAAATTATTCAAATGTATATACATTTATATCTATGTATATTATATTTATATATAATATATATATGAGTGGGTCAGAAGCCAAGGGGTACAAGTGGCAATTTTACCAAAATTAAGTTAAGTATAGAATTTGATAGAAGAAGCAAACAAAATTGTTGGTGGCCAAGGGGTACAAGTGAATCTCTGCCCTGTGCTGCTTTCTACTGGAAAAACATAACAACAGTTGAGTATATTTAACAAAAATACTTTAACTTTAAACAGCTGTATCTCAAAACTATGAAAATGTCACTTGTACCCCTTGGCTTC